ACCAAATCCCCCCTTTTATTTACTAAGTTTCATAAAAAGAGAATTATTCCTTTCCCCGTGGATACGAACTCTACTACGCTATACTACGTATAGGTGTTTAGTATTGAATTTATTTTGACACACCGTGACAAAGTGCTCGTCAACATGTTATCTCATTACTTTTTGTTTCTTGATTTTCTCTCTGTACTCCCTCTCAACTGGAGCACTCGATATGCTTTGTCATTGTTAGGCACTGGGGAGGAGAACATTGAAAACTCCCCCTAACATGTTGCATCCTTTGAGAGATTCCTTGTTTTGTCGGTGTATGGCGCCAGGAGGAGAAAACTGAAACTCCCCCTCAGAATGTGCAAGGATTGATTGCTCACAGCTTCTCATACTCGCCATGTGTGTGGAGCAATCTGAACAAGTACCACACATGACGGTTTCCCTGAGCTCATCATTAGAATTTCAGCATATTGATGATCACACAATGTTGATGAGTTAGGGGAGGCTTCAGTAGTTGATTTTTGATTGTTGTAAGATGATCGTTGACGCGTAGTTGATTGAATTATCTACGATTTTCGGACCTCTGCAATGTAGTTTAGACCATATTTGACCTTTGGTTTGGCTGTAGAAGGATTGAGCGGATTTGCTTCAGTTTTGACCTTGACATTGGTGATTGACAATGTTTCTCGGAAAGCGAATGATATCTCCCTCAAGAACTGCGAGTGAGGGCACGTGGTTGGGGGTATGATTCGCCTAAATCGGATCACCGAGTCAAAAGTTATGGCCAAAATAGTGAGAAGACGCTAAAAACTTCGAAATTTGAGAATTTTGAGAAAATTCTTCGAAGTTGAGATTCTCAATGTTTGATATCGAGAACAGGTGAAATTAAACAAAATTCTAAGGCAAAACCTCGAAATCCTAATCTCGAGGTTTAAACTTCGAGATTAAAATCTCGAGGTTTAAACATCGACATTACAATCTCGAGGTTTAGACATCGAGATTACAATTTCGAGGTTTAAACTTCGAGATTACAATCTCGAGGTTTAAACTTCGAGATTACAATCTCGAGGTTTAAACATCGAGATTACAATCTCGAGGTTTAAACTTCGAGATTACAATCTCGAGGTTTAAACATCGAGATTACAATCTCGAGGTTTAAACTTCAAGATTACAATCTCGAGGTTTAAACTTCAAGATTAGAATCTCGAGATTAGAATCTCGAGGTTTAAATTTTGAGATCTTAATCTTGAGTTTACATCTCGAGATTAAACTTCAAGATTAAAATCTCGAGGTTTAAACATCGAGATTACAATCTGGAGGTTTAAACTTCGAGATTACAACCTCGAGGTTTAAACTTCGAGATTACAATCTCGAGGTTTAAACATCGAGATTACAATCTCGAGGTTTAAACATCGAGATTCTAATCTCGAGGTTTAAACTTCGAGATTACAATCTCGAGGTTTAAACTTCAAGATTAGAATCTCGAGGTTTAAATTTCGAGATCTTAATCTTGAGTTTGCCTCGAAGAATAATGACGAAATCCACCTGCAAATAAAACCTCGAGACTTCGAAATCTTCAGAATTTCAAGTTGTTTGGAACATCGAAAACTTTGGAAATTCAAAAACCTCAGAATATCGAAAACTTTACCTTTGAAAAACATCAGAACATCGAAAACCTGTTTAAGACTTTGAAAAGCAGAGAATCATCCAAAAATCCTATAATTTTGAGATTCAAGAAACTCCAAACTTTGAAATATTCAAAACATCAAGGAATTCCTAATATCTCGAAATCTACAAAACATCGAAATCTTTCCTGATATTGATAAACAAGAATCTCGAGATCCTAATGTAAAGATCTTCAAAATTTGAAAATTTGAGATTTTCATTTTTAAGCCCTGTTCTGAGAAGTCCTTGATCTCGAGATTCTTCCTGTATCAAATTCAAGTCAAAAAACCTCCTGTAACCTCAAGAACCTGAGATTTCGATATTTCAATATAGAGATCTTCGAAAATAAAAAATTATCGAAATCGAAAGATAAGATATACTGTTGAATCCTTGAGGAAAGGTGATTCCAACAGTATAACATTTACAGACTATCGTTCACAAACAAGATTATAGGAGCTAAATCTCAAACAAAAAAAGAAGAAAAACAGAGCAGTTCTTCGTTAGATCTGAAATATCGCAGATGATTCAACCTTTTTCACGACTTGGCTCCGATACCACATGATAGTCCCAGTTTCTAACAATCAAACAATCATATGAAGTGAAAAAGAAACAGATAGAAGGATATCGAAATAATCGATGAATCTGGTATACCGTGGTCGCTGCTCTCCCTCGAGAGAGAGAGAGAGAGAGAGAGAGAGAGAGAGAGAGAGAGAGAGAGAGAGAGAGAGAGAGAGAGAGAGAGCGTAAAACCTAATCTCTCTATCTCGCCTCTATACTCAAAAGCCTTAGGTTTTCCATAAGTTAGCTTCCTTTTATAGGAGAGGATGGCTAACTTATGGGTTACAAAGAAGCTAATGGGCTGGTATACATTTGTGGCCCATATTACACATTTAATTAAGAACTACATAAATACAAAGATATTTAATTAGATTGGACACCATAAAATATTCCCAACACTTCCTTATTAGAAACATCAACTTGCCAAGGGTTTAATTGAAAAATTTGCCCACTAATGATACCATGGACTCTGACCATGGCCTAATTATGGAATTATAGATCCATCCCATAACGGGATCAAGCCCTCAATGGGATCAAACCCTTAACGGGATCAAGCCCTCAACGGGATCAAGCCCTTAACGGGATCAGCCCATAAACGGGATTAATGATAGATAACCGCTAGGCCTAATTAAGAATCAGACTCACGACAAGAAACCCACAACCAGGTGGGGCTGGACAACAGACCTCGAGCCTGGGCGGAGTCCTAGTGAGATCGGAATATTCCTGGGGCTTACGTGGCAGACTATCATTCGTGCATAGCTATCTGGCAGTAGGCAGTAATAATGGAAGAACGTGGACTTAAAGGAACAATCATTGCACAAACGGCCAAGACTTTACAAGAGTTCTATTCGAACTAATATGTAATTAATAGCATTTATTGTAGCAGTTTCCTCCTAGAATAGTAGTTCCTGTAGTCTATAAATACTTCATGTAATTCTCCTATGAAGGGATGGAACTCCTGATAATAGAAACACTGCCTTACACTGCCATATTTTCATCTGCTCTCATAGATATAACTCTCGTAGTTGGATTAAACTCCATCATTTGGTGCTCTCGTTGAGAGAACGATCTGCGAAGACGATGGTTGGATCGACTAGTCACAACCGCATGGGTAGCAATCAAGGCGACAATCGTTTCAATCAAGGCGTAGTTCTAGGTCACGACGCATTGATTTCAGGAGGCGTAACGACAACACATCGGTTCAGGGTAATTTGAGGAATCATCTCCACGGCATTGGGAGTTCTAGGCGCACGGCGGTGCGACCACCACAGTTCCAGACGCCGGACACCGGGAACCTCAGCAGTCATCCCCAACGTCGATCCGGCCCAAGCCTTGGCGAGTTTGGCTACATTCCAGAGGGCCGTGGAGACCCTGACCACCGCCTTTCAAGGTATTATCCCTGATGCTAACGCAAGACCACCTTCCTCTCGCCGGGCTCCATCTATGCCTCAGCGGGAGGAAGAGAGACGTGAACCGCAGCAGAGAAACTCTCCGCCGGCCCGGTCTTAGCGGTCCCATCATTCCAGATCGACCCCGAGAACCTCGGTAATGGATTGGATTGGCGGGCAAAGGATCTATGTGCATGACAGAATCTCATCCAAGGCTGAACAGAGTGAGGAGACATCATCCGCGGCCGTTTCATCCCACCACCGTAACACGCGCGTGGGAGATCTCTGGGACGAGATCAATGCCAACCGGCAGGCCCACAGAGATCACTGAACCCCACCTCGAGCTCGAGCTGGTCTTGGCAATGACGACCTCAGGAGGAGGTTGGAAGAGCTCAGGAGGGAGGTGGACGACAGGATTAACCCCAATCATGAAGTAAGGATTCCTGAACCGATCACTCGTCAAATCATGGACGCTCCACTGCCGCAGGGATACAGGCCATGCAATGTCATGACATTTTTGAGAAATGATGACATTTTTATTACATGAGAATGTCATGATTTTTTATCTGAAAATGTCATGTTGTAATCTCAAAATGACATGTTTTTTCATCTAAAAATGACATGTTTTTGTCTTTGAAAATGTCATGTTGTAATCTCAAAATGACATGTTTCTGCATCTAAAAATGACATATTTTTGTCTTTGATGTTATGATGATGGCAATTTCACCTGAAATTGATAACTTGCTCTCCAGAGGAGGTAGCCGCAACAGGAAAGATGTCGACACATCCAGGGGAGAACTTAACAGTGACGGATGACGCCATAGCACTATTCTCATCGGAGGAAGAGAATAACATCGACGGTCTCGCCGGTGGAAGCAGTAGCGTCCTCGCCGGTAAGTGGCGGCGATGGTGTTGGTGGCGATGAATGGCGCGGAGGGTATTATTGTGTAGGAAGTCTGGAGGCATTGCTGCAAATCGTCGGTGGAGGTGCAGCGATCATGGACCTTGCTTCATTAAGGGTAATTTGGTCTATCAGTACAATTTTCGTCTTATTTTGGTCCATAAAACATGACAATCCTGTTTGTGCAATTTTACTCTATTTTAGTCTCAATTAGGGAAATCTCTTTTTTTTAACGAACTAATTATGTACACACGCAAGTGTAATTTTTCCAAAATTTGGGTCTAACATTCAAATAGAAAAAGTATTAACGGGCATATAATAATTTTAGAGTTGGCTGTATCCACAATGACACTTGATCCCCAAGTAATTCATTGGCCCCACCATAGCCCAGAAACAACTTGTCATCCGCTACGCCGATCGCGTGACTAAAGCAATTTCCCAAAGTACCCCCACCGCCTTATAATACCCTACATGCAGCCTTAACTTGCCCGTCTTCTCCAAATATAAACCCCTCACGTCTCTACGATCATTACTTTTCAATTTGTATGAGCAGACCCCAAAGATGGTTGAGAATGTCGGTGGACCGGGCGTCCCGGTGCTCTTCTTTGACGGCGAGCAGGAGATCAACATCGGCACCGTCCGCATCAATCCGATGATGGATTTCAAGGCCTTCCAGTTTATTCTCAGCAAACGGATTGGGATTTCTCCCAACCAGATATCGATTTATCTTTGCGATAGCACGGCAGACCGCAAGAGGATTCCCATAACTGCGAAGGTCAATTTCGCCTTTATTGCTCGCGAGAAGGACTGCTTCTTTCTGGCGGTGCTGAAGAGGTCGCGGAAGGCGCGGAACCGGAAAGCCAAGATGAACTGGATGGCGGATTATAGAGACTACTTGGCGGAAATCGAGTTAGCACGACCGCCTCAGCCGGAGAATTTGATTTTGCTGCGTCGGAACCAGCCCGAATTGAGCGTCGCTATGGATCCGGGATTCCCCGAGTACGAGTCGGCGTACCACGACCAGATTTCGCAGGCGGAGCTAGCCGGACTGAATCATAGGTTGCACAGCTTGAAGATTCAGAGGGAGAATTACGCAATGGCAATGGCAAGGTCGAACCCGGATCCGATTGGCGTCGTGAACCCGAACCCTAATTCTGGACTGGATCCCGATGCTTTTCCCAGCATTCAAGACAGCTATTCGACGATGACGAAAAAGGAGAAAAGTAGCTGCAAGGAATGTAGGAGTATGAAGAACGGCAAAACAGCGGCTTTCCACCCATGCGTGAATGACCCGGTCATCCCTGGAAAGTTCCGGAGTCGGGCCGGCCCAATTCGACGCTCGTCAGGGACTCCTCGCTAGAGTCCGTTTGGTTTTTGTGTGTATACGAAGAAAATACTGCCGAGAAGCTTCAATCCGCTGTGTCGGATCATATATTAGACTATGGTGTGCCTCATTCATGGATAGTGACTTCGATTGACTATAGAGACGTTTTTCTTGTTCTTGAGAAAAAAACTAGCTAGGACAGTTCACCAGGAATGAATTGTGCCTAATAATTCGCACGAATTGTGCGATTCAGTTTTTTCTTGTGAAAAAATTGCTGTTAGTATTTACATAGGAGTTTTTGTTCATTTCTTAATGTGGTAATTTTTTTGACTGATTTCTTTATTTTTAGTATCATTTGACACGATGGAAGGATTAATCAGGAAATATTTCAAGTATACCACTATACCTGACAATATAATAATCGGATTTAACCAAAATTGATAACGGAAATTGCCTAAAAAAGGAGTAAGAGTAGATATAAATTCTTAAATATTTCAAGTATACCACTATACCTGACAATAATAATCGGATTTAACCAAAATTGATAAGGGTAATTGCCTAAAAAAGGAGTAAGAGTAGATATAAATTCTTAAATAGGAGTCATTATGTTTTGTTCCCTTAATAGGACGTTTATATTCCTATTCAAAAACATACAAACCCCCCTTTATGAATAACTACCCTCGATGAATTGGATATACTCCTCGATTGAGTATTCGAGAGGGAATAAGTTATAGATATAACAATGATCGACTAAAATATATCAACAAGTGGAAAGTAACAATGCCAAGTTCTTTTATCTTTGAATTAAAACACATATAGGTTGTTCATCTTAGTTTTTTAAATCAAATCATTCAATCCCAAAACCCCCCTTTTATTTACTAGTTTCATAAAAAGAGAATTATTCCTTTCCCTGTGGATATGAACTCTACTTCACCTATACTACATATTAGTGCTAGTATTGAATTTATTTTGACGCAGCGTGACAAAGTGCCCGTCAATTTTGGCGCCGTTGCCGGGAAAGGCAATTATTTTTCTTTTTATTTTATCTCATAAAAATAAAAAACAAATATATATATATATATATATATATATATATATATATATATATATATATATATATATATATATATATATAACTTAATCTTCTATTTTCTGAGCTTACATGAGTTATGAGTATATGGATACCAACACTTCATCCTTAGAGAGTCAAATTTCCTTCTTGACTTCTCTAATAAAGGAATTTAGCTTAAGCTCAAAAGCTCAAGATGCCAAGACATGCAACATTTGCATGTCTAACAGGCATCTTACGGATTTCTGCCCAAAGCTCCAAGAAGAATACCTTGCACAAATTGATTATGTACCTCACATGAGGTATGATCCATTCTCCAACTCTAATATGTCCACGGAGGACAGTGTTCGGGCTGTTACTAATAGTGTGACCACCATGCAACAAAACATGGTTCAATTCCAAAATGAGACCAAGTCTAGTATTTTAAACTTGGAAACTCAAGTGAGTCAAATAGCCGGAGCCGTGAGTAGGCTTGAAGCAAGGGATTCGGAAAAACTTGCTTCTCAAATAGAATGTGATCCTATACAGCAAACTTTTGCAATCACATTGACAAATGAAAAGGAAATGCAAAAGGAGATCCAGAATCCAGAAAAAGTAGAGGAAGAAAAAGACACGGAGCTCCAACGGATCAAAGAAGAGGATAAGATGAGCTTCAAATTCAAATTTTTGTCCTTGTCATCCTTTGTGGTATCTCCATCATCTCTGGAAACTTTAAGAGAAACTCGTAAACTTGAAAAGGACAATGACATTTCTGAAACCTTCTTCAAAATTGAGGGATCGAAAAACTTTACATTGACCATACTAAACGATAATTTCTCCCCTTTCCTCCCACCACATGAATCAATGAAAATCTGGATATTTGATTCTGGAAAGATTTCCAAAGTGAAGAGTCGAGAAATTGAGCACTCCTATGGAAGTCCTAGGAGTGAAAGCGTGAAAAAGATAAACTCTCATGATCCAAGTTTGAATGACTGAACATAATGATAGCGTCGAGCCACGACGTTAAGAAGGCGCTTCTTGGGAGGCAACCCATGCAAGGTACGTAATTATTTTCTCATTTCTTACATTATGTTTGAGTGTTGTGAGAGAGTGCATATTTAACTTTCAAAAAAAAAAGTTTTCATGAGGACTGGGGAAAAACCCGTTCAGGTAAACCTGATACCCGGTCGGGTAATAGGCTTAAAAATCATGCCCGAGCAAGAAATCAGCCGGGTAAACACTAAAAAACTGAAAATAACGTTTTACCCGATCGGGTCTACCAAAAACCCGACCGGGTAAACTGAGAATTTTGCCACTGCCAGGCCTAGGAACAAAAACCCGTCCGGGTTTTTCAAAAACTCGTCCGGATTTTTCAAAAACCCTATCGGGTTTATTGGTTTTTAACCCAATTTTATCCCGAAATCAGTTCGAACCAAGCCCCATCTTCCCCTACTTTCAAACTAATCTTCCCCAAGACCCATAGCCACGAAATTCCTTCTTCCAAATCATCCCAAACCATCACCAAAAAAAAATCTCCTCATCTCCGTCATCACTCTCATATCATCAAAAACCCGATATCCCTTCCCCAATCCCTAAACTTGAAAAACTAGCCCAAACCTCCTCAAAATACCAATTTCTCAAGAACAAAAATACTCATGACTACCAAGACGAGGATGAAAGCAAGGAGCACTAAGGACAATGCTCGAAGTAAGTAGGGGGGAGTCACTCATTTGGTATATACTCATTTTTTACCTTGTAACTTGCATTATTTTCTTCAAAAAAAAAAACAAAAAAAAGAGAATAAATAAAAGAAAAATGCTAGTTAGGTTGAAAACCCAAAAATTGGGCAATCTAAGCAAAAGTGGCTAAAATGAGTGAGTTGGGAGAAAAAGGAAAATAAAAAGAGAGGCTAGGATGAAAACCTGAAAAGGCTCCTAAGCAGAATGAGAGAATCAGAGGAAATTTTATTTGAGATTATACAGAAACTGATTTCATTTGGGAGTTTTTGGGATACAATCAATGAAAAGAACATTTGTTGTTGAAGATCATGAAGACCCTCTTTTCTTTGTATTTTGAGGATGGATGAACAAACTGAACGTTTTATTCCTTTGAATTTATCTGTTCAATGGACGGATCGTGAGCTGTTATGTGGACTTTTACTCGAGGACGAGTAGTGAACTAAGTAGGGGGGAGTTTGATAGCATAAAATTGTTATTGTTTATGTTTGTAATTTTAACTAGTTTTATTTGTTGTTGTTTGGGAAATTACACACTTTTGGTGTAATACTTTATTTTTCCTAGTTACATGTAATTTGTATAGATCAATTAGGGATTTTCTAAACTTAAACTAGGTAAAGATCATCAAAAGGATCCTGGAAAGGTCAAGGAAAGTGCAAGGGAACAAGAGAAAGTGAAAATTTGGGAAAATAGTCAAAAACCCGACCGGGTTTTCCAAAAACCCGATCGGGTTTGACTTGACCCGAAGATCAAATCTGATTTGGAGACAATTAAACGTGCAGGGCGAAGATTTGACAAAGATTTGTCTTTTACCCGATCGGGTAGATGTGACCAATGAAGATTCCGGGCACTTACTCAAGAAACCCGACCGGGTTTCTGAAAAACCCGGTCGGGTAAATGACCCTGTCACCTCCAACACCTATAAATACACCCCTTTTCCTTCCCATTTGATCACCAATTCACATATACTCTTAAGCTCAGTTTAGAATAACATTCCTTTATATTTTTCTAGCTATGTTTAGTCTCCAAATGAGGAGCTAAACTTCCATTCTTGGTGTTGCTCTTGAAGCTTGTTGATTATTAAAGTTGTGAGTTATTTTCTTAACTTCTTTTCTTGAATATTAATTATTAGTTCTTTCCTTAATACTATCTCTATATTAATGTTGGGGGATGTTGCTAAGATGACAATTAGTTAACATCTTGACATTAGTTAGAGTAGTATTTTCTTCCTCTATATTAATGTTGGGGATTGTTGCTAAGATGACAATTAATTAACATCTTGATATTAATTATAGTAGGATTCATCTCCTTTAATAATATTCTTCCTTGAATATTAATTAATTCCTATTCATATTTCATATTAATATTTTGAACATTACTTAAAGGATCAACTAGTTTTGTTTCATATATTAATTATTACTAGAAACGATCGACAAGTAAGAACCGATGGTTAACCGTTGATGGTTTCACAAGTAAGTAACTTCGGTTTATTAATGCACGGTCGTGGTTGATAAACTTAAGAGGGATTAATTTTGTTGGTTAAACCGAAACCGTTGTGTTGAGGTTATCAATCTCAATTGATTTCATCAAGGAGTTAAAAGATTAAATGCTACTATCAAGTCGGTATATGGCGGTGTTCTATACTTGACTAATAGTAAGGGTTATTAATGAACGGTCGTTGTTAATAACTACCCTCTATGAATTGGATATACTCCTCGATTGAGTATTCGAGAGGGAATAAGTTATAGATATAACAATGATCGACTAAAATATATCAACAAGTGGAAAGTAGCAATGCCAAGTTCTTTTATCTTTGAATTAAAACACATATAGGTTGTTCATCTTAGTTTTTAAATTAAATCATTCAATCCCAAAACCCCCCTTTTATTTACCAGTTTCATAAAAAGAGAATTATTCCTTTCCATGTGGATACGAACTCTACTTCACCTATACTACGTATTAGTGCTAGTATTGAATTTATTTTGACGCACCGTGACAAAGTGCCCGTCACACACATCGAGAAGAGCAGAGTTGCACATTGCTTGTTTGCATGAAAAATGTAAATGGAGTGTGAGGGATGTTAAGCTCTGTGGGGTCCTCATGTTTCAAATCGGTAGGTATTGTTTTATCCTTTGTTATAAATCTGTTACAGTATGTTATGCCACATTAGTGGATATTATTCCAAATCTTGGCATTTTATTTATTCTGCCTTTTCATGTCACAGGTTTGACTCATTCCACACATGCTCGGTGGATTTTAGGTAAGGAAAACATCGGCAGGCTACATACCGAATTGTTGCAGAACTTGTTTCTCATAAGCACTTGGATGCTTCTAGAAAACCGTATGTACCAAACGAGATACATGCTGACATGATTGTCATGCATGGCATCTGCATGTCATACAAGAAGTCTTGGAAACCTTAAGAGACTGCAATGCAAAAACAATTTGGATCAGATGCTGAGTCATATCAACTTTTACCTTCGATGGCCAATACTAGAATAATAGCTATTTGCTGCGGTCATTTTTACCTATTTGCTGCGGTTATGAACAACTATTAGTTTCGCAAGTCGCAACAAAAACTCTCTAAAACATTCTTATTCAGTGT